TCCATTAATGACAAGCTTAAACAAATGCAGTCAGATATCGTATGTATAAAACATAAATAAGTGTGTACATACAAACAGAGCAATAATAAATTGTMTTAACTAAATAAAGCACATAAATAAGTAAATATGTACTCTTGCGACAACTTTTCTGCAAGTTTATGTGTTTTATGCTTGCTCTTAGAATTACCATCAACCATTAACATTAGTAATTAAAACGAATGGCACAAAATGGCGATAAATGAATAAGGTAATAAATTTGCTTCGTTTAATTTAATTCGTATACATTTAATTGAAATTCAAACACACACACATACACATAGACTTATGCAAGAGAAGTTAATGACTGTCGATTGATTTGAAGCTGGTCACATTAATTCATTAGTTTAGCTTAATTCAACGCTGTTTGCCCATGCAAATAAATATCTATATCTAATGAACATATGTATTGCTGCACCATAAAGCAACATAAACTAAGCGTTTTATCTCTTATATTCGATTCTGTTTGCAAGAGAGCGGTTAATTAGCTCGATAATTGCTATTTTTTTTAATTGAATATTCTGCTTTTCYTCCGTTAAAAGTTTATGATTTTAAMGATAATAAGAATTACGTTGCATTCTAATTTGTTTCCTCGGAGTTTTTGATAAATAATTATGAAATTGTTAAAAGATCTATAATGAGAACTTCTGAAACAAATGATATGTATGCCACATTGGCTTTCAAAACGTTTCTCGAAACGCTGTTTTCATAGTAGGCGAAGAATTTCTTCGAAACGGCTAGAGCTATCGATCTTTTTATATGTAAAAAATTTTTTTTTTAAATATCTTGCATTTTTAAACAATTTTGAAGTGTAACTGTTTTGCAGAAACGACATTTTTTGGGAATTCTGCCGTTTGGCTAAAACCTTAATTTTTATTAGTCTTTCGATCAATAAGAATCATTAATAATATTCTTTTAATTTTACGAAGACAAATCTTCCTCACCTCTTTTCGGAGGTTTTCCTAGAGATCGGCTACAGGATCAAGTTAATCCAAAATTTTTCTAAATGATTATCCGATTATTAAAATACATAATAAACTCGGTAAATGTACACTTTTTATTTATTAAATAAAAGGGGGGTGGGGGGTGCTGTAACATTAAAGCTAACGATCTGGCAAATAAAGGTACACTAGCCCGRCTATCAGTACATAGAATGTGGACAGGTCCGTGCTCTGCTTTCCTCGTGTGTTGTCCCACTAGATAGTTGGGCTTCGCATGAGCTTAGTTGAACACCATCGATCCACACTCTGTCGCAATATCTCTTTGGCTAAAAATTTTTAGTGGTCTTTGCTCTTAGTAAGCCCAGTCTCTCCGTAGTTTTCGGAGTTCGAACAGGCAATTGCCCTATCGACGTCCATGCTATAAGGCTGATAATTTTACCAGAAGCCAACTATAGAAGCTATATGGAAGAAGACGAGTTGGAACAGTCTTAACATTTCCTATTTGTCCCCCTTTGCGAGGTCAAGACTTAAACACTTGGTAGCTTACACCTTCAGATGACCTACCCTGCTGATATGAATGGAAATTTAACGAATGAGCAAATATTTAATGGTCACGAGATGCTTTGCTGACTTCTACTATCGAAGACAGAAGGTATTTTTTATGGCTTCACAAAGGACTGAATATGGTTGTCCTARAGCGATCTAAATAAAAAGCCTATCAAAACTTTTCAGACTTTTAGTGGATATAACTACTATTGGATGTATTTACTAACTAACCGRCCGACTAGGAAATGCCTCTCCATCACACAAGGTTAAACAAAAAATAACTCTAGGAAAATAATTCCAGTATTCTATTGTGTAAGAAAGTATATTTTGGGTTCTTCAATCATCTTATAAGTCCAACTCAACAAAATATTTGCTGTGTTTGCCGCTACTCAGCATTGTTCAGAACCTTTATCGGCTTCAAACTAATTACTTTAAAAAATATATTACTTTAACTTAAAACTTTTGTAAAACTCACCTTGAGATTCATCAAAGTCCTTGGTGGTCATTTGAAAGAGCGCATCCAATGGTGTACCATTCGGTTTCGATTTCGAGCTCGAACCATTGGTAGCTGTATTTTCGCCGCTAGGACCACCATTACCCGCGCCACCACCTAAACTATTACCACCACCATTCGACGAAGTGGAAGTGTGCGAAATGCGTTCACGATCACGGTCCCGATCACGTTCACCCATAACCATTGATTGTGCGCCCGCTGACGCCGATGGTTCACCGGAGGAACGCGCGATTTCCGGTGAACAACAATCGCTAGCCGCCGAGCTGGAACGCTCCGAACCACTCTCAGATGGTATCATATCCATGCCCATGTGACGCAACAGCTGCGCTTGAGCATTGAAATGCTCCTGCAGCTGCCGATGATAGTCCAACGCCAGGCGCTGCTCATAATGCAACAACGCCGATGGTATGAACGGGCGCACCGGCATCGGACCCAACAAATGATCCCAGGGACGCACGATTTGTGCGCCCGGCAGCAGCATTGGATGTGGCATACCAGCGGCCGCMGCCGCCGCTGCACTCACCATATCCAGCGGCTCGGCACGTGGTTGCAGCAGACTGCTGGCGCTCAGCAATGGGCGAGTAGGCGTGCTAGYTGCATGTTGTTGCTGTTGTGACGGCGGTGGCGGTGTGGGTGAGGTGGATGTGGCRCGTTTCTCATGTCCCAATATATCGGCAATGGAAAAACTTTTCACACCCTCAATATTCGACTTGACGGCAGTGCTAACGGCAATTCCGGCGCCGACATTGGCGGCATTSGAGCTGGCAGTTKTTGCAGTCGAAGTGGGTGTCGTTGGCAATGCAACGCCATGCGCTTGCACCGGACTGGGTGTGCGATTGCCGATGGTGGTTTCCTCCATTTCGCTGGACATGCGTAAGCGTTTCAGCGGTTGGAAATACTCTTCGGCGGGGCCTGTACGCGTCAGTCCAGCAGCAGCGGCTGCGGCAGCGGCGGCCGCATGTTGTTGCATTAAGATTTGTTGATGTTGCAGCAAATCGATTGTGCTGCGATGTTGCGACGGATGCGCCAGCGTTGGATGCGGATGTTGCTGGTGGTGTTGTGTATGATGGTGTGGCAGTGGGCTGGGTGCGCCACCGACGGAGATTTCTGATTCAGCAGGGCTAGCGGGACGCATGGTGAGCGGACAAAGCATGTTCTGTTAAGCGTACAAGTTTCYCAAACGCGTATTAGCGCCGTTATAAATGTGTAGCGGCGGCTTAAAAGTAGGTTGTGTTGCGTTGTAAACCTTAAAACTGTTTCGATTTTTTTTTTACGGATTTTAACACACGATAAATGTTTCGGTTTAAGTTTCTTAAAATTTCTCTAACGCTGTAGTTGTTGTAGTTTTTGTATCGACTTCGTTTCGTTTACTTGTTTTATGTTTATTTATTACTTTAAACTTTTTTATTTAATTTTTTTTTTAAATTAAGTTTTTATTATATATTTCTTTTTTAAATGTTGCAACTAACTCATATATAAGCAGCTACTAAATTGCCGACATCTAAGCACGCTTGTAGTTTGTTGAGCACTGTCAACGGACAGCCGACAGTCGACACAAAATTGAAATCAATCAAATCACAAATCAGTTRGTAGCACGAATCAAACGAAGCTGCGCCAAAACCTCTAGCAAACGCTTCTCCTTGAGATACTCTCTGATTAGCCGCTTCATTTATTTATTGTTGCCACTTGCGCACAACACGACACGACAATATTTCACCGCACCCAAGCAGTTGTATGTACATATATGTACATATGTTTTTGTATGTCTACTTATGTTTATACATATGTTTGTATACCATTAAATCTGTCTATGCACTATATTTTCTTCGTGATTTTGTTCTTATATTTCCGATAATTTCTTTTTTTTTTTTTGTGTTGTTGAAGTCTTCTTGTTAATACTTAATTTTAACATACGACTGACTGACTCTGGGACGGCCGCTACAGCGCACTAATAACCAAACGTATCAAACGAACCAACCTATTCACTCGACGYTTCGCAGTCAACTGTTCGAAACTAGACTGAAGTTTGCTAACTAGACAAGTTGATTTTCGAGTTTTTTGCCGAGACTCTCCCTGCTTTCGAGCAGCTAACGTCTGCTTGTTATTGTTGTTACTTTTTTCCCATCTTTAGTATTGTTGCCTGAATGCATGAAGAGCTATTAGCTGCCATGTGCTGTTGGTGGTGGTGGTATGGCTCGATATTTATAGGCATATGTGTGTGTGTGAGCATTGCCTGCATTTCAATTGGTTTCTTATACTTGCTGATGCTCCAACCGCGCTCTCTTCGCTGCCACATACGCACACACTGTATAAACACAAACGCTTTTGTTGCTGTTGTAGAGCAAATTGTGTGTATATCGTGCCATTCGTGTTGTCGTGTCTTGTTTGTCGACAGTTAAACTCGACAATCAAATCTTAACTAAGCAAATGAGTGAGTAGTCGAGATCCCGCTAACGACAATGGGCCCGGCGTCAATGATTGTGGTGGCAGCGGCAGTTTCAGCCTACGGGCATGTTAACAAAGTCAAGCCAAGTCAGTTAGGCAGCCACCAAACGAGTTTCGTGCTACAAGAGCGAGCGCACAAACAAAAGCAAAGTGGTACAAGTTGTTTGAGTTGTTGAAGAAAAAAACGAAATGCCGTACGAGAGAGTCAAATGCCAACTCAAGGCATACAACAAAAAATTAAAGAGAGAGTGGATTGAGTATCAAACGCCTATGCGCGAGTGAAGGGAGCACATCATGCGCCAGTTTGAGCATTTGGCTATCACGCTCGCGCTCATCGTTGCCTAAGCTAGTGCGAAGAGCACGTCTGCTACAAAAGTCCAGAGAAGAGAAATAGGCGTTTGCGGTKCGCTGCGGCCAATCAGTGTGCGACAAGGGAAAAATCGCAATGGTGGCAGATGTGCTTTAACGGTAGTTATGGCGTTCGTCAGCGACTCAAGCTGAGTGGCGGTTTGGACAGCTGTGCTCCTCTATTTACACCAACTGGCAGMGTTTAGAGTGCAGTGTGTTAAAGGTAAAACTCTGCAGAGTAAGCGAGTGAGTGCGTATAGTGGCTGTGGTCCTGAAGGGGTGGTAGAAATTAGTAAAAATATGTGCGTCGGTTGTTTGTAAGTAATTGGGCCCTCTAATGAGACCGTTTATAGCGGCTGGAAAATTGTGCGCTTGTTATTAACGATGAGATGAGGATTTATTAAATGCGTCTGACTAGTGCGCCACCCGAGAGCAGCTGTCACGGTTTAAATTGGAGTTGAAGGGCACATGTACAGAATTATAAACGCATATACATTTGTATTTACTATATATAAATATGTATGTCGGCATCTATGAGTGATTTAAAAAGAAATGTTTAATTTTATATAAAAAATTGTGCAAATGACAAAGTTAATTTGAAACTATATTTCAACAAACGGTCCCTTTTTGAATGTATTGACTATCGGTGGGCTATATAGAACAGATTTATATCATAATAGTTCTCTTCGACTCGCACATACATACATACCTTGTTCATAGGTTTATATGTACGCACTATGCATCAACAGATTATATTTTGATGTTTTGTCGGCACTCATATTTTATTCTACACATAACATATCTAATTTACAATTCTTAAATCAAAAAGATCTTAATAGCCTAAATGGACGGTATCAATTCACCGTTATACTACGTATTGAAGAAATATGAATAGCGACGGTAAATGGTAATTAAATGTAAAAACTTAGTTCAATGAAAGTAAATACTTATACTATTATTTGATTTACATATTTTCACGAAATTAAATTATTTTTATTTAAAAATATTATTGAAAATTGTACTAGATAAACACAATAACAATAGATCCGAAAATAAAACCAATTTGTATAAAGACTTTTTATAAAGAAAAAATTTATTTTCCAAAGGTTGGCTACCCAAAAWGTTAAATATGGACATACTTTATTGCTCTTATATTAATGGGGTATAATATTTTCCTGTCAGGCTTATATGATAGATGCAACTAATTAGCAAAAGCAGGTCTGTGGAAAAAATACAAAATTTAATATTTCCATAAATACTAGATTCACTTTTGAAATTTTGATATTACTGTCAATGAACGTGTCATGTTTGTTCTTGAATGTGTACTTGTAATATGTTTAACGGCCTAGGAAACTCTAAGGAAGTCGTGTACAGGGCTTTAATAGGAAGAAAAGCAATTATCTTTTATATATACATATACATATGTATATTATGGCTAATTAAAAGAGGAAAAATAAGTTAACTTCCAAAAAAGATATATGTATGCATTGGTTCATCACTTCAAAGAAATTATTTAAAATATTTAAATTATGAAATCCATCATCATGACAACGCTTGAAATGATGAACCAATTATTATATATGATAATACATGAAAAATGATAAAATTATAATTTCAACTAAATTCGAATACCAGATTGAAAAAAATATATATTTTATGTTCAYCTTTTTTATACTCATCTCCAATTCTCATTGAAGAATTATGTTATTTTGTGATTCACCTCTGATTACAATTAGGTTTTACTTAATTTCAAATCTAGAAATAAAAAAAAACGATACCCACGAACCAGACATAACGACATTATTGTAGATTATTATTTTTTGGTTTCRGACTGCTAGGAAATTAGGAAAAGGTTGAAGTCGTGGGTATGATCAAGTGCCACGATATTTGAAATTTTTAACTTTTTTCCAAAATTCGTGTAATTTTAATAAATAACTAATACACACATTTATAATAAATATACGAATTGCTTTTTTATAATAATTCAAGTCAAAATACCTGAAATTTATGCTTTGAGRCTAGAAAGAATAATTTACCCGTGTGCACTGAAAAGCGGTTTTTGGTTGATTGCCACGTTYCAAGTAGGACTATTTAAGCGATATATGCATTTAGTTAACTTGCACCTGTGCGGCTATTGACATTATTTAGGCTGCATGATCCCAATCACCTGTCTAGGCGTTGATGGGAGCCACAAAGTAATTCGTTCGCATTGCAAACCGGTTTGCAGGAGATTGCGACGTCCCCAGAAGAACTATTAATTATTCATGAATTAGATAGTTATTTACTTCTTGGCACGCTTCGAAATTTACATACATACATATGTATATAAATTTCAAAGTAATTAAATTCTGTTATTTTAGTTATTACTTTGTAAACTCTAACCTCACATCACTATTAGTTTACCTTTAAATGCTTTTTTAAAATTACCTGCRGTCATACGTTTCACTTTCTTTGTGCTTATTTTTTGATTTTCTCCGTACACTGATCCAGAATCTTACTTTGATTGTATGAAAGTCCGAATTTTGCCGCACCAAAAATCATATCACTCCTGAAGAAGATTAGACAATTTTTATTTAAAGACGACCATTTTGTTAAATTTCAAGTTTTAGGCATATCAGTTGTATTTTTTTCACATCATCATCGTGTCTCGAATGCGTTGTTTAAGTTGCTAATTTCGTCATTAAACCAACTTAAMCTAACTTTGTACTTAAAAAGGGACATGCTGGATCTGTAAACTTCTCATTTGACAATAACGTACTATATGTCTAAGTACGTTCGAAAGTATGTATTAAAGTTTATCGTTATATGTCTGTGCATACGTACATATGTACGAATGTTATGCATTTATATATCAGCTCTTGAGAAATATATAAAACATTGCATATACCTAAAACATTCTCAAATTACAAATCTCTTCACATTTTTCCCCACAATTGTTGTTTTAGCGAAATTGCAAACCGAATTTACTACGCCCATCACCACTCAATACGCTCGGTTGTTGGAATTCGGCGACTTCAAAGAGATTTTTGTCGATTCGCAAAAAATGCAACAAGCATAATGTTGCTAAACAAAATGCGAAAACAGCAAAAACAACAAAAACAAATCATAAAAACACTTTAGAAAAAACATAAGTAAGACAAAAAGTACCTMTGTACATATTTCCTCCAACTTTAGTTCTTTACCCGTCGCCAGTAAGTCAGCAGCTTGACAACAACAACTAAACAACAGTCCAACCATTCAAATAGCCAGTCAGCCGAGTACACTCAGACATCCAATGGCTAATGTGGTCGTCAGTGCGCCCAAGCTATTAGCTAGGGCTAGCGAGCAGCTAACGTTGAGCTTAAACGGTATTACAAACTTTAAGTGGCGTTGCAGCATTTTGAAGTTCCGTTTTGTTAATTCCGAGTTCGAACATAAAGTCTGATCATGCCTCCACCAATTTGCGCTACCTGACGGATAGCTGACGAATTGTTCGAAGCTGACGCGACTCGCTGTCGCTTGTAATTTGCAGCGAAATTTTGTTTCAAAGATGCAGTGGTGTGGGGTCCTGGAGATTTTTAGAAAATTTTAAGTTATTTTTTTTTGTAGTAGCTTATTGTAA